ACCAGAGACGAAAGGGAAGTCTCTCGGGGAGACAGGTGTGTGAATTAGAGTTAAGCAAAGTGCGTGAAAAGGTTCTATTCCTATGATCTATGACTGACATGCACACAGTACCCACTGTGCAGTTACAGAGGACAGGGACTTACTTTTGAGCGTGATATGTGTCTGTGGGTGTTTCTGGATGTAGCTGGGTGCCCCTGGATGTAGCTGGGTGCCCCTGGATGTAGCTGAGTGATCTTGTGAGGCCAGAGGTTAATAGTAGGTACCTGTCACTCGGCAACGTGCCACCAGCTGGACAGGGGCCAGAGGTTCTGCATTCCAGGGCCCTGGCGATGTTGAGGGTGGGGTTCTCTTCTGGATCTACAGCGTCATCTGGTGGCAAAGCTCTTTAAGATCCTCCGCCCAGGCTGGATGCATACTTAGTGTATTCGAGAAAGCTCGGAGTGAAGGGGCTTCTGGAGAAGAAGGTGCCCCGGGTGGTGTGAGAAACAGAGATCCAGTACCAGGACAAAGAGAGGAGGGCATAAGCCACCGGGCACTCGGGAGACATGGAGGTATGAATTAGAGTGGAAAGGAGGAGGTGCTTAGACAGCCTGAGCAACACCCACCTTCTTCTGAGGGACACCCCCCTTCTCCATTTCCAAGCTTTGTCTCTTCTTGGGGCTAAGACACAGTGAACAAGACACTTGGGTTCTCTTGGCTCACACAAGTACCAAAATTCCCCTTCTAGCTCTAGGCGTGTCTGTGTAATTACCCCTCGGGTAAAAGGCCTCTCGTGCCCCCTGCTGGCAGCTCTGCTCCAAGCATCCCAATCACTCACAGGACAAGGAAGTGCCTGGTGAAAAGCTAGGGCTGCGGGATGAGGGTAAAGGCTGCGAGATGAGGGTGGGGTGTGCAGTAGGGTAGGGTGGAACACCGGCCTACCAGGGTCGGGGACTGGTTTGTAGTATTCATCTGGACCCCGGAGGCTTCCCAAGTGGTTCACCTCCCTTTATCTTTTACTCCCAACTGGGAGCGACTCTTCAAAACCTAACAGAGGCAGACCTGGGAGCCATAAGCCTCTAGGCTGGCTCTTTCGAGTCTGAAGGCTCTGTCTAGTGCAGAGAGTCAGTCTCCAAAGGTTATGCGCTGTGTGAGTCAATCTACACGACAGGTTCAAACGCAGACACGAGACGCGAAGAAGAACCAGGTTAGAGAAGAAGCCGAGCGGGAAAGAAGCGGGGAGATGTGAGGGAAAAGGGACAATGGAAAGGGGGCCCAAGAGTTGGCTCGGCGCTTATGAGCACTGTTGTTCTTGTATAGGACCCTGGTTCAAGTCCCATTCAGTTCACAACGGTAACTCCCAGATGCCCACCCTCCTGGTGCACATACATACACACAGGCATAAATGCTCATGCACATAAAATGATAAAAATAAAGTAAAAGGAAATTCCTTTCCTGATCCACCAAAGCAAACTGTCTCCAGTCCAAGAGTGGATTTTTTAAAAATTATTTTATTTGTTTATTTATTTATTTGGTACAGGGTCTCACTCTGGAACTTTGACTGGCCTAGAACTCACTATGTAGACCAGGCTTGCCTCCAACTTATGGAGAGCCACTGGCTTCTACCTCCTGAGTGCTGAGATTAAAGGTGTGTGCCATCAGGTCTGGCAGAAATGGGGTTTTTGAAGTGGTGGAACACTTCTGTTTTGATTGTGGTGGTGGCTGTGAGAATCTGTGCTGGTGACAAAATATAGAACTCTACATAAAGATTCACAACACAGGGTGTGCACAGGCCAGTGGAGTCAGTGAGCCCCATAGCACAGCAGGCTGAAAGGAATCATCGCCTCCCGGGGTTGATGGGGACAGTAGGGTGTAATAGCATGGCGGGGTTGGATGCTAACAATGGCCTGAAACTTCAGCACCAGGAGATTCAATGCTCTCTTCAGACCTCCTCACAACACACCTGCACACATGTCTTACACACACACACACACACACACACACACACACACACACACACACGATACACAGACACATAAAAATAAATACATCTTGGAGGGGGAGGAGGGGAAGACCTTTCTTGGTGTTCTGCGATCCCAGCACTTAGGGTGTGGAAGCTAGAGGACCAGAAGTTCAAGGTTACCTTTGGCTATGTTCCAAGTTGCAGGCCAGTCATGTGACTCTGTCTCAACACCGTACCTACCATAGGACACTGGAAGGAGATCTGGCCACACGGTCCTTCTGATCATCTCCACCTAGTGGTGCATTTGAGTAGAACAGGATGAAGCTGTTGCTGGTCCTCCACTTCCACCCTTTCTTAGTAACAATAATAATAATAATAAATCTACAGGCTCCCTCACCCCTCCAGGCCTGCAACAGACACCCCAGCTTGGAAGGCCCAGGAAAGCAGGCTCGCTTCCATCCCTCTTGCCATCCAAAGAGTCTCCTTCTGCTTATGTCTGACAGGGACACTCTGCTACCACAAATGCTCTTGCCCCTAACTATAAAAAGTCCCTTTCCCGAGGCACTGCTGGGCCGAGGTCTTGGAAAAAGGCTGCTCCAGAACCCTGGGATCAGGAGACTTTTGGGCCCAACATGATGGCTAATGCTGGCTGTCACTCCCCAGAACCTAAACTAGCCTAGGAACTCGGGAAGAAAGATTAACGTGATTTCACAAAAGTCCCTGTACTAGGTTCAGGGCTGGGCAAGCTGCACACATCTCACTGTGTATCCATGCATGTGGAGGTCAAAGGGCAACTTTTGGGATTCAGTTTCCTCCTTAAGTGGTCAGGTTTGGCAGTAGATGCCTTTACCCAATGAGGCACTTCACCAGACTCAAGCCTGAGGCTTTAAGTTGGGACAATAAGATAATCAGGGCTGCGTTTTTAAACCGAGGCTGAATTTGGGGGCCTGAGTGTGTGGGATATGGAAGGGGCTAAGTGGTAGTCCAGGCAGATGTTTGCTCCCGAGACCAGGCTGGTGAGGGAGGAGAGTTGGTAAGGAATGTGCCAGGATGCAGAGATGGACTGGAGGGAGTCTGCCGTCTTCCCCAAGCTTTAACTTGTCCACCTGTCCACCTGTGGGATGGCAGAGCCATTTCCTGGGAGAGAAACCCCATAGGAGAGGAGGACTCGCTTTGGGGAAAGCCATGAACCTAGGCTGAGTCTGAGGTCTGTCCCAGGGCAGACATCACTGATGCTGTGGGTGTCATTCTGGGAGTGAGGACAGGAAGCAGGGTCTGGTCTGAGCATTCCTTCTTCCCATGCTTGGCCAGAGGTGGGAGGAACATGGGGGGACAGAGGAAGAGATGTTTCCAGGAAGGCCTGCATGTCACAGGAAGTCACTGAACCTGGGGACTCATGGTGTCTCTCACCATGGGTGTGTTGCTGAATCCACAGGAGGGTCTGTGGTTTGTGCTGTGCAGGGGTTGAGGACGGTGAACATGGACACCTCTTGAAGTCTAACTGTACACATAGGTACTTGCCGTCAAGTCTGACAACCCCGGTACCCCAATGGTGAAGGAAAGGACCACCTTTTGTAAGCTGTCCTTTGACCTCCACACACACATGCCATAGCATGCATGCACCTTCAACACACATACACAGTATGAAAACAAATCAATGTAATAAACTAAAACTTCTGTCTTTGAGAGGGGGAGGATAGCTGTGGTTACAGACAGGTGCATGGTGGAGGGTTTCCTAGGGTGACTGTGACTTCTTCCCATGGGTGGCAGGGGGAGTAGGGGATACTGTGGGTACCACAATATCCTCTCCTCCTTGACTGAAGCATCAGCTTCCTCAGAGGGTGTAGGCCCGGCTTGTTAGGAGTGGTGACCAATAGCTCTAATCTGACCTTCTGGGATATGCTTAGAGCTGATAGGAGATGCTCTGGCCAGATCTGTGCTGTCCATCAGACAACGTGGGTGGTTACTAGGCAGCCGGCAGACTTGGCTTCTTGCCACAGGAGGGACAATGCATAAGCTCACCCAGAGTTTCTGGGAGCTTGGTCGAGTCTAGACATGGGGCCCAGTCTTGCGGCCTTCATCCCTTCGCAGGGGTCGGTGGGCACCAAGCTGACCTCCCTGCTACTATTTCCTGGTGACTTCAATTTGGCACAGTAGCTCAATATGGGAAAAGCATGGAGAACCGTGGGTATGTTTAGGAAAGAAAGGGCACTCGTCATCCCCAGGGTTGAGCTAAGGAGAGGAGGGGTTGTTCTGGGGCTCACTGTGGTTGCTGTGTTTCCGTGATTGCTGGGGTCAGAGGCCAGCCATCTGTGAGAGGGAGAGAGAGGCAGACTGGGCTGTGAGGGGAGCTCCTGAAAGCCAATGATGGGAGAAAGCACAGCCCTCCCCTCCCCACGGCTGCTGATGAAGATGGCAGGGGAGGTCCCCAACAAGTAAGATGCGGGGATCATGGTGGGACCCAGCAACAGCTGCATACCCAGGAGGACAGGAGAAGCTCTAGTTACGGATCGGAAGCTTCCCGATCCATAGTGAAGTGTGAGCCCCAGTGTGAAGTGATTGGAAAAGGGGCCTTGGGGAGCGCCATGGTTTAAGTGGTTGCTGTTGGAATCGGAGTCCTTGTGTGGAAGCACCAGACCTTTAGCCTCACGGCCATTTGAGAACGCACTGCCTGCAAGCTAACGGTGTCCTCATTCCACCCCACCCTGCTGCAGCCTCATCGTGAACATCCAGCTTCCAGCTTCGTGAGAAGTGCATTTCTACTGACTGAGTGGCTTAGTCTGCGGTGTTAATGGCAGCACTAGCTAACTAAGCCAGTGTGGCCACGGACACACGTGCGCAGTACTGTCTGTCACAACCAGAGGACATAACCCAAAGATCCTTCTTTTGGCAAATAATTAGGAAAAGGTAGCTGCTGGTCCTGGTGATGCAATGTCAGTACTTGGGAGGCGGAGGCAGGATGATCAGGAGTTCAAGGCCAGCCTTAGCTCTACAATGGGGTGGGATGTAGACAGACCAAAGATCAGTGCAGGCCGTTATTGAAGTACATTCACCAGAGTAGGAGAATAAACGTATTTTATTTAACAGTTGTTAGGTTGCCTTAAGACTTTAAATATGTAGGTGTATGGTAGGAGGCCTCCATTTGTTCTCTTCTTGGCCCTGCTAGCATCAGGGCTGGGCTTGCCTCAGCCTTACTCACTGGGCCCTAAGCTCCAGAAAGCACGTGTAGACCCCTGTCCCAGAGCACAGTGCTCGGCACACGAGGGCCCACAATAAATATTGACTGCAAGAAACCAAGGGGGACATCGGAGTAAAAGGCTGGCATAGTATGAATGCTCAATAAATATTAGCTATTATCCTTTGTTGAGTTAGTGAGGGTGGGTGGAGCTATCAGATCCATAAACTGAGGTGTGTGCATGGGGAAGGGGGCAGCTGACACATGCTCAACTCTCTGTGCCCGAGGCTGTGACCTTTCTCCAGTGGGCCCCTCCCAGCTCTGCACGGCAAGTGAGTCCTGGGTAGGCACCCAGTCAGGGTGCAGGCAGGGGCTGAGGGCTTCTATTTGTTCTGTTTTTCTTCCCCCAGAACAGCTGTGGTAGGTTCCCTGTTACCTGAAGGGACCCCGCCCCCAGGTTCTCTATTGCCTGAAGGGAACTCCCCACCCCCCTCTCCTGCAGGGTGCTCCAGCCTGTTTGCTCTGCTCAGCCCATCCGTGCTGCAGAGGGGATGGGGAACCACTTCCTCCTCTAGGGGCTGGGTTTGTTGTGGGGAGAGCCATTGCAGGGATTCAGGGATTTTGGAACCTGAAGTCATTTGACTTCTGCTACAAGCCCCAGGTCCCTGGAATCATGCATGGTGGGCGCCGGGTAAGCATGTGGTGGGCATGAGGAACATGGAGAGAATAGGGGTGGCCCAGGGAGAGAGGAAAGCGGAGGAAAAGCCCTCAGGTGGCCTGCAACAGTGTGGCACAGGAGCATAAGGCTAAAGAAAGCAGTCAGTGGCCTGGGCTGGCGGCCAGGGTCAGTCCTCCCGTGGCAGCAGGGACAGTGTCAGTAGCTGCTTCGTGACCAGTGCCGGACCTCCTGCATAGCGCGGGGCCTACAGTCTCCATCCAGGCCTGGCCAGATGCAGGCCTGTGGAAGCCAGAATGCCTTCATCCAATCCCTCCTCCCAACCGCGGCCGTAGGAAGCCCTCATCCGCCCCCACCCCCGGAACATCCTCGCGTTTGCACAATAGGCGGCGCTGTAATCAAGAAAGGGCCCTAAGGAACCCCAGATGGGGATACAGCAGGGAGAAATCACATTTCATGAACTGCGGTCATGAAGGGGGTCACCGTACCCTCTGAATCGAGGGGTGTAGAAGTCACAGTGCAGCGGGGTGGGAAGCGGAGAGCCTCAGAGAAGGTCCAGCCTCATGGCCTCCAGCCACCCAGGGTCCGCAGTCAGTGCGGCGGGAAGATGTCTGCGCACTGCTGTAGGATGAGCTCCACCACCTGGTTCTGGAAGACCATGGTCATGGGCATGCTGGCCTCCTCCATCTCAGGCCGCAGCAGCGTGGGCCCGAACACTATGGCCACATTTTGCACGGTCATACGGTTCTGCTCGCCATGCTCGATCACCCTGTAGTGGGAATGGTGGGGCCAAGAGCTCAGAGGCTAGGGAGTCTTTCAACAGGGGCCGCGGCCACGACCAACCTCCCACCCCTTTCGGCCCTGGGAAGTTTGGCTTGCTCACCGGCACAGGTGCTGGATGAGCAGTCGGAGCGTGTCGTGGTTGGGGGTGGGCAGCGTGCGCACCAGGTCACGTACACAGCGGCTGCGCTGCGCTGGGTCCTGCAGCTCTGGGTGAGGGAAGGAACCAGAGGTGATGGTCTGCTGGCTGTGACAAAGGCGGGCCAACCTCCCCACCCGTCCTCTCCCTAAGCCGCTCACTGATGGCTGCTATGAACTGGTGGAAGTGCGAGAAGGGGAAGAGGGGTTCTGGCAGCTCCCGGAAGAAGAGCTTCAATGCGCCTGTAATCACGTGGACGTCCTCCCAGCGCCCGTCGTCCAGGTCCAGGCGCTCATCTGCGGTAGGGAGAGAGCGGGGAGAGGCAATCAGCATCCACTTGTGTTTTCAGCCCCCAGAGTAGGGACTGGGGAAGAACCTCACCGTGATCCACCTTATAGCGCAGTTTCTGGATGGTGGCCAGGTTCCCACTGATGCGGTACAGTCCGTCGATGTCCAGCCCTGCGGGAAGGGGAATGGCTGAGCCTGGAAGGGCTAGGGACCCTAGCAATTTCTACTCAGGATCTGCCCATCTGCTTCTCCTTGACCCTGTGCTCCCCCAGGGGTCTCCACCCTTTGCTCCTAGAAGCCGGCCATGGAGCTCTGCCCTGTCTGTGCATGCGTACATACCCCGGGCCTCGACAGTGCGGATGCATTGCTGCACGAAGCGTGGCACAGGACTCCTCTCGCGCTCACACAGCTGAGCCAGCGCACATCCAAACACCTGGTCTGGGGGAGAGATTGGTCAGCGCCGCCCAGCCCCGTGCCACCTGAGCCCGGATCCCGGCGAGTTGCAGGTACCTTTGATGTAGCCCTTGTCCCGCAAAGATTGCAGAGTGGGTCTTCTCTGCAGGAATTTGCGGAGCTTGTACCGGACTCTGCTCAGGTCGCTCTCCAGGCCTCCAGGGCTTGGGGAAGGTGAGGCTGTCATAGACCGAACTCGGTCAGTAGGTGGCAGTGATAGCACTGGCCCTAGATCCCCAGCCAGGGCATCACTTCCCGTATCCCCCCTCCCTCCCCGAGGGGACTCTTTGGCTATCTCCCCACCTGACCCCATTGCACACCTGCATTCTGCCGCACATCCTCCTCCCGCCAGCTTCCAAGGCGCTCGCTGGACCCGAAATCAGCACTGCTGGGCTCACCTTCCACCCCCTGGAGCAGGTCTGCGGACTAGAATCAGACAGCCTCAGAGAAGCAAGGCCTGGGGCCGGTTGGGGCCTCTCCCGAGCATCTCTAGCCTGGAGACATCCCAGGAAGAGACAGATTTCTCTTGGCAGGTTAAAGTCCTGGAACCAACTTCCACCTTCCTTGGCTGCAGAGTCCTCCAGGAGCTGCGGGGTCATTCTGCCCTCTCCCTTTCTTTCTTATCCAGGCCCTCTTCAGCAGCCTCCCGGTTCCTGACCTCCTCACAGTTTTCAGTCAACTCTTTACATCATACTCTTTATGAGTGAGACTGGTTCTCACTCATAAACTTGCCAAACCATTGCTGATCGCACCAATACCTCCTGCATCTGGATTCCTGCTTCTATTAGGACAATCAAAATCTGGACCCAGCGCTAACTCTTCTGGAATCAAGAATCAAATACTATGAGGTCATTTCTATCTAAATAGCTGTTGATTCTGTTGGTCACAGCTGGGGATCAGACTCAGGACCATTTGCATACTGGGCAAGTCCTCTGTCACTAAGCTATACATTCACAATGCATGACTGGCACTACCAGGGCTATGGCTCAACGGCAGGGCACTTGACTAGCAGACACGAGGCCTTGGATTCAATCCGTTGACCCTTTATCTTCCAGTTCGAGCTGTCACTCCTGCTAGAGTCTGGTTCTCGGGGTACTTATGCACTTTCCCGCCTGCCACCCTTAAAATGTGAAGCTTCTTTGGGTTGCGGCTGTGCCCTCCCATGGAATCCTGCAAGACCAGCCCCAGAGCGGGAGTCACAAGCCTCTGGACAGCCCCTCTCATCAGCAGATAGGCTGCTTTTGCAGAAATGGCACTATTCCATTGGTGTCATAGGTTCTCCGTGCATAGCTTGGGGTCCTGCGTAAAAGGCCCATATCCCTCTCAGTCAGCCCTGGAGGTCCCAGGCTCTACCTACCAGCTCCTCGATGCCTTTGGCAATGGCCTTGTGCCAGGTGCTGATGATGGCTTCTGAGTCATGCTGGATCAGGTACTCTGAGCCATCTCGGCTTCGCAGCTGAAGGGACACAAGCCAGTCAGTTACCCCTGCTCCCTGGGTCTGTCTTGGAAGTAGGCTTGGAGTGCGTGTGCGTGTGCGTGTGCGTGTGCGTGTGTGTGTATTGAGAGAGAGGCGACCTGCCCCTCCCCAAGAGACTCAGAGTCTAACAGAGTTTCAAAGGCCTCAAGTCAGATCCAAGTTTTCCTCTTTGTTTAATGCTGTGGGTGACAATGTTGGTGGGCGGACTAAGTGGGGTCACTTTCTTCCCGAGCACACAGCCAGTAGTGACAGATCAGAGCTCGGCCGGGCTCCTTGCTGCCGGACATAGAACACAGCAGGCCTCCCCCAGGGCATTGGCAAAGTGATAGAAAATTCCTGCGGGAGCCTGGCTGCTGGAATGCAATAAAAAAAAAAATACAGGGAGTAGAAATAGATTGTGATTGGCCGACTCTAAACACAAGAGTTGGCCCAGCTGCAAGGCCTAGCTTTCGAAGTGCATATCAATCTAGCCCTTCGGTCCAGAGTGAGGCAGAGTGAGGCAGAACCTGGCTCAGACAGTGGGGAATGACTTCTCGAGTCAGAGAAAACGGTCTTTTGGTTGTTCTCCTTTTAAAATTATCAGAGGTCAGAGAGATGGCTCAGTCAGCTGTTAAGAACACTTCTTGCTGTTGCAGAGAACCTGGGTTCAGTTCCCAGTGCCTACAAGGAGGCTCACAAGCATCCAGTTCCAACACCAGTTCCAGGGAATCCAATGCCCTTTTCTGACATCTGTGGGGTACCAGGCACACATGTGGTGCAATACATACATATATACACACATACATGGAGGTAAGACATTCACACATTTAAATAAATATAGACCTGAATAAAGCTTGGAAAATCATCAAAAATGAAGCATGCAAGCTCCCTGCAGCATGTCTGGACTGTGCGTCTGACTTTCCTCATAATAAGCTATCAGAAGCAGACCCAAGGTGCCGGCTTAGCTCCCATGGAGCTCTTTGGAAGGGCACATATCCCTCTAGAGCCCAAGTTCATAAAGCTACACATTAGAAAGCTCTTTAAGAACCAAGAGTTAGAGGCTGGAGAGATGGCTCAGTGGTTGAGAGCACTGGCTGCTCTTCCAGAAGTCCTGAGTTCAATTCCCAGCAACCACATGGTGGCTCACAGTCATCTATAATGAGATCTAGTGCCCTCTTCTGGCCTGCAGGCATACATGGAAGGTGGAAGGAATTGTTATATACATAATAAATAAATAAATCTAAAAAAAAAAAACCCAAGAGTTAGGACAGTTGGATTCCCAGGAACCTAGAGAGGACCCTTCCCCTAACAGTAAAGATCCATGTGACCAATCGTTGTCCCCTTTCTCACTTGCTGCCTGGAGAAATGGATCTAAGTTTCCCTCAGAGACCACCAGAGCAACTCTGATTCACTGTTTGCTTCTAGCTTCTCCCCATCCTGGACCCCTAACTTGTTTTGCCAGATACTGGCTACTTTTTTTTTCCCCTTTGATGGTGGTGGTGGTTTTTACCAGTTCACTGTCAATGGAGTTTGTTTGTGCATGTGTGTATGTGTGTGCATGCATGTGTGTATTGTGTGCGTGCATGTGCAGGAATGTATGTGCAGGTGGAAGCCAGAGTTCAACCCCAGGTGTTGTCTCAGGTGCTGTCTACTTTGTTTTTGTGTTATGACAGGGTCTTCTGCTGACTTGGAATCCAACATTTAGGTTAGATTGGCTGGCCAGCAAGCCCCAGGGAATCCATGTCTGCTTTCTGTGCCACCACACAGGCTCCTCAATCTGTGTGACAAGTACTTCACTCACTAAGTCATCTCCTCTGCCCCTCACTGTCTGTGCTTTTCTGGCGTTCTGCCTTGCAGCTCTTAGGGACGGTCAAAACTCCGGAACAGCGAAAGGCGTGGTGCTACGAGGCCTTTGCCAGAGTCCTTTTGCTCTACTTGCTGGGAAAGCCGACCAACTTGTCACTAGTCTATTCACTGGGGACCCAATAAAAACTGGAGTCTGGGCTCTGGCCAGTGAAAGCAGGTCCCTGGCTCAGCCCATCACAGTGAGCGGCTAGACTCAGTTCTCGGTCTCAGACTGGTAGCTGAGAGAAGGTCCCTCTGGGGATGGCAGTTTCACCTCCTAGAGCCCTGCTTCTTACCCTCAGTGGCAAGGGCTATTAGCCCTATACCCAGGGTGGGGACGTTCAGACAACACGATAAACCTGAACTCCAGCTGGGGCGGCCTTGACTTTGAGTCTTGAGTACTCCAGCCCCACTTTCTACAGGACCCCATTCCTGGGCCCTGTCTGCAGTGGGATTCAGGGGCCCCTCCCCCCCAATCCCACCACTCACCTCCAACACATTCTTCTTGCTGGATTTGTCTTTGGGGGCCCAATCGAGAGAGGCCCCCTTCAGTTCGACCGTGTATTCAGGAGTGGAGAGCTTGGAAGGATGCCTCTGTGGGGAAGGAAGGAATAAAGGAGGCAAAATTACAAGAGGCACCCACCCAGACGGGCTTGCTAAAATACCTGGACCGACACACCAGGCTCCTAGAGCATCTTTGTCCTAGAACCTACCAGCCTGCAGAAAGGAAAAGAGGAAGGAACCTAGCCCCATTTTGTGAGCAGGTATGCCAGGCCCCAGCCGCCCAGCTCTCCAGACTGGAGCTGCCTGTCACCAAGGACTGTTCTGCAGGCCCCAAGCGGCTGGAGTGCTTTGTACTGTGGTGAACCTGCCAGCATTCCCCTTCTTTGTCACTATCCAGCTCCTTGGTACTTGGGAACCCATCTTCTAAATCAGCCTTTCCTAAGCCAGACCAGAAAACAAGAGCAGTAGGCCTCCCTTGCTCAGTGACAGGTCTCACCAGGCCGCCCGCAGCTGAGGTTTTGGAGTCCTTGAAGAAGGTCAGGACGCCACCCTCCAGCACCGTCCAGGAAGCGCTCCAGTGTTTCTTCCTAAGGACAGAGGAAGTGGGGGTGGGCGGGGTTGAGATTTGCACCCAGTCTGGAGGACTCACCCCACCTCTCCCCTCACAGAGTTTTAAGAACATAGCTTGGGGCACTGGCCCCACAGAATTGGATTCCCACCATGCAATAGCTGGTAGGCAAGGAACCTTAGGTGCCTCAGTTTCCTCATGGGACTTCGCATGAAGTCGCCTCGAGGATTAGTAAGAGCGTGGCATAAGGGAACTTAGCACTTGGGGAACTCTATCACCACAGCCCACTCTGCCACGGTTGGGGTCTGAACAGGCCCTCACCGAAGTCTCTTCCCCTTGTCTACTGTCTTGGTACGATGGAGCACTCCGGCCTTGTCCAGGGTCTTGATCTAAGAGAATGGGGGGAAGGGGAAATGGCTATGACAGGAAAGCAGGAAGGAACAACGCTAGCAACTCCTCAGCTGGACCTTCCCTTACAGGCTAGGCCTGAGGCTCACCGCACCCTGCCATCCTCCCACCTGCTGTCCCTACAGAAGTAGCCACAGGGAGATTCCCCCAGGGCGTCCCCGCTCCCTCTACGCTGGGGCTTACAGGGAAGGGAGGGGTATATTCCATCAACCCCTGACCCCAGACCCCACGGCCCTTTCCCACCTTCTCCTCCGGAGGGCTAGCCTGGGCTGGAGTGTCACTATCCTGGCTTGATTTACGAATGCTTCGAGGGGCGGGGATGGGGACCTGGGGAGAGACACATTGTCACCTATCACCCTCTCCACCTTCCCCAGCTCTCCCTTCCCCAGCTGTTTACCTGGGGCAGCTCCCACTGCACAGAGGAGTCCTCTAGATTGCAGAAATATGGCTTCCCATGCTGGTCCTCCAACCTCACCCACTGTGGACACAGGGATGGTCAGGGCCCTCAGCCCCGAGTCCAGGATGGTACTAGGGGCTGGAGTACCAGACTTAGGACTGAATGGCATGGGGTCTGCCCTTTAGTCTCGAGGGGAGGTCCTAGTGGAGGAAGTCTGGGGAGGGAAGGCCAGCAAGGCTGTCTAGGTCCGGCTGCTAGCAATGTCCTACCTGCTCTTGAGTGAACTGGTTGGTGTAGAGCGTCTGCTTGTCTGGGGTAATGTGACAGGACCAGCCAGGGGGTGCCACGGGAGAAGTGGGGTCAGGATCACCGAAGGAGCCCACAGGAGAATAGTCCTCTTCCGGGTAATTAGTCAGCAATTCGGGGTAGTCTGTTTCAGGAGTTGGGGGCTGCAGAGACCAGAAGACGGAGTCAGAGGTTCTTCTGCCTCTTCCACCAGATTCACCTATTACTCTCCAGTCCTCGGGGCCAAGAATCAAGAGAAGTCAGAGACCCTCAGAAATGGCCCTGTCTCTACACTCTGGTCCCGGAAAGCAAGAGGTGGGATCAGAAATGCTCAGAGGGTGGCCCCACCCCCATTCTCTGATTTCTGATTAGCATGGAGAGGGGTCAAGGATGCTCGGAAATCACCCCCTAATTGCCCCCCCCCCCCATCCCCTGATCTCTAAGAAGGAGGTGGGATCAGAGGCCAGTCCCTCACCCTCTGAAGCCCCGGGCTTCGCGGGCTCAGGCTGGGTTGCATCTCCAGCTGCTCCTGGGGCTCCTCCTCCAGGGCCTCAGTCTCGTCCTCCCAGGCAGTCTCGCCCGTCAAGGGGTTGTAGAAGAACACCCTGCGACTCTCCTCATCCCAGTACTGGCCCCACTCTGTCTCCAGGCTCTCCCCGCTTCCCACAGAGGCTCGGGAGGTGGCCGGACTGGTGGCGCCTTCAGAGGCCTCAAAGGGTGAATCCCAGGTGGTCACGCCCGTGTCGGGATTATAGTAGTAGGGGCGCCCAGTGCCCGAGTCGGTGTGCGTCTCCCACACTGGGCTGAGCCGAGGAGGAACTGCAGCGGAGCGCGGCGAAGTGGCCCGAGGTTGCCTCTCTACATTCGCATACACTGGCTCCGGGGGATCATCCACCTGCAGGAGCCGAAGGAGATGACTTTTGGGGTAACTTCAGAGTCGCACAGGGTGGCCTTGGACATTTGCAAACTGGGTAACCTTCAGCAAGCCCTGGTACTTCTCTGACTCAGTTGCCCTTGGTGGAAAACGCGTGCTTTGCCCATGCCAGAAATTATGGTAAAAGAAAGGAAACGCATTTTGAAGGAGCTACCCGAAGTAGCGTGTGCCCCAGACGGGAAGGTCAGCTTGTAAATCACAGACACTAACTCAGCTCTCAGGAGTCTGCACTCTGTGGAGGAGAGGCACTGGCAGCAACAGATCAAGGGCCTGGGACCTGTTCTTTGTGGGGTCTCATTTGGAGTCCTTTTGCAGTCGGTGGCCCCACTAAAGGTTCCCACCACCCTTGACGGCTCCAGCAATGGAATCTGTACTGCTGGGGGTTGCTTTGCAGGTTTAGGAATGAAAGAGAGCGAGCGAGCGAGAGAGCCAGATAGGCTGGAGAATAAAGGGTCAAAGAAGGGAGAGGGGCCCCCCCCCGCCGCAAAGGAGCATGCCATCTGGGGTTTCATCTGGCTAGGCACAGAGGAGAGGCTGGGGTGAGTCACACTCTCTGCCTCCTCCTGGGCAGAAGGGCAAAGTCTGAGGCCCGCAGAGGCCACCCGTCACCTGCCTGGGCTTGGGCTCTGTTTCCTGCCACTCCTTACTTGCCCCTGGCCTTGAACTTTAAGCTCTAGTTGCAGGGCCCCACCCCTCTGCTGGAACTTCTGGGGCTGATTGCACTCAGCCCCTTTGCAGCCTGTCTATGTTCAATTCCACTCAGCTCACCCCAGGTTCTTCAGGTCTCAGCTCTTGAGAGTGTCAGGTTTCAGATCTGGTCCCAGATCTCCCCAGATCCCACCAATAATGCCAAACCCCTACAGAGACAGCCAGCCTATCAAACCCAAGGCAGCAGGAATGCACCTGGCTAACAGTTTTCTAAGAATACACAATGCTCCTAGCAAACAGTACACCTCAAAAACCTAATATGGTGGACTGGGGAGGGGGGCGGAGCTCACAAAGCATGCAGGGAACCCTGGGTCTGATGCCCAGCACTCAGGATAGAGGCAGAACTTCACAAGTTCAAGGCTATCCTTATTCACACAGTGGGGTCTGAAGGCAGGTTGGGGTACCTGAGATCCTGTCTCAAAAAGACCCAAATCGAACAAAATGCTGACAATGGTCTATCTGGCCAGGGCAATTATAAGGCTTAGGTTTTTGGGGGTGGTGCTGGGTAACTGAACTGTAAATGCCGGTCTGTGGAGCTTCAGCGCCAGTTCTTTTTCCTTTAAAATGTTTGGAGATTCCTTTTTTTTTCTTTTTTAGATTCCAATTTTTGTAAAAAGTAGTTTTTTGTTTTGTTTTTTTAAGAAAAACACAAAATGGACCGACAAGATGGTTCAGTGAGCAAGCACGGTGACCTGAGTTTGATCCTCGGGACCTACGCGCTGAAAGGCAAGCACTAACTAGCACAGGTTGTTTTCTGTCTTCCATATATGTGCTGGGACACACTCACACAGTATGTGCTGGGACACACTCACACAGACACAGTAAATGTACTAAGATAAACTCGTCACAAATGTTCCTCCTCTGTTGGCGTGTGCAAGGGAAGCATGGCATACTCAACATGGCTTCTCCCTGGGTTTTAGGAAGGAAGATAGAAAGCACTCATTTGGAACTGGAGAGATGGCTCAGTGTGTTAAGAACATTTGCTCCTCTTGCGGAGGACCTGAGATCAGTTCCCAGCCCCCACACGGTGGCTCACAACTCTCTGACTCCAATTCCAGGGGATCCGATGCCCTCTTCTGACCTCTTTGGGCACCAGGCACACACGTGATGCATGTACATACATGAGTGTTTGTACTCACACACAGAAAAATAAGTAAATATTATCCCCCCCCCTACGTCACACATCTTACTCATAAGATCCCTCTGCTTTGCCGTGTGGCAGGAACTGAGCCGGACGCTGGGAATGCAGCAGAGAACAATTGGCCTCCAGTGCACACATGGCAGGTGTGGGGTGTGGTGAGGGAAGCTTGTCAGTGACGGTCACTGCTGAGAAAGACTGCAGAGGTAGGGGCCAATGAGAGGGCTCAGCAGTGAAAGGCACTTGCCGCCAAGCCTGACAACCTGAGTTCGAACCCTAGAACCCGTTCAGTGGAGCAAGAGAACTGACTCTGCCAAGTTGTCCTCTGTCCTCCACATATGTGTGCATACAATAAAAAAATAGGATAAAAAATTAAAGGCGTGGTGAGACACGGGAGGTTACAGGCTCTGACAAGGTGGCTAGCCCCAGGATGCAGGTGCTGGGCTGAGTCACCAATTCTTCTCCATATCCCTCGAGGCTCATGTGGTGGGGACAGGGCCTTCTGCACACTTCTCCTTTCTCCCTGACCCCAAACCTCATGTGTATTCTTGTATGTCAGCTACCCCAGGCTAGCCCACCTCACCAGAAGAAGTCCCTATCCACTTCCTCACTGTCCTCTTCCTTAGGCTGTCCCCTTGGCCTGATTGTCCTTCTCTCCTATCCTCCCCACGCTGGCTTTGCTCCTTGGGGAGCCTCAGGCCACCGCCTCTCAGTGGAGAGGTTAAAGACACTCATCCCTTTGTTAGGGTCCGGTGGCATTCTGCCTTGAAGGTTGGGGAGTTACCCACCAACCTGACCCTCTTTTTTCCTTTCTTCCTTCCTTCTTTCCTTCCTTCCTTCCTTCCTTCCTTCCTTCCTTCCTTCCTTCCTTTCTTCCTTCCTTCCCCCTTTCTTCCTCCCTTCTTCCTTTCCATGTGTATGTGCAGTACGTGTGTGGGTGCACATATGTGTGCATGTGTATGGTCTGAGATTGACAGTGGCTGTCTCCCTTGATGGCTCTCCACCTTATATATTGAGGTGGGGGGTCTCTCACTTGAAGCCAGAGCTCACTGATTTGAGTGTGATCCCCTGTCTCTGCCTCCCCAGCGCTGGGATTATAGGCAGACCACCATGCCTACCTGGCATTTACATGGGTGCCAAGGATCCAAACCCTGTCTCAGACTTACACAGCGAGCACTTTACCCACGGAGCCCTCTCCTTTTCCCCACGGCCTGCATCTCTTGTGAGTACAATGACGTAGGATGATGTGGCAGATGCCACTGCCCCCCTCAGGTGAGACAATGCCCTGAAGTATATAACGGATCTATTCAAGCACTGCTTTAATGTGCAAGTCAGTCCTGTGGCGAACGCTGGAAACAAACGGCACAGAATGTGAGGAAGGATTTGCTGGGGACGAAAGTTTGAGCCACAGAGCCCAGGAGAGTCACTGGGACAGGACAGACACCAGGATGAGAGGGAGCAGAGAGGCCAGACATGCCTCCTGCCCCACACCTAGATACAGTGGGACTGTGACCTTGCTCTTCCAGGATGGGTGGTGGCGGTGGCGGTGGCCGGAAGGGTCCATGGTGGTGTGGAGAGGCTGAGGTGCTGCTGGGCTTTTTGGAGGAGGGGTTATGCTTGACAGACCATTGGAACTAAGGGATCTCAAATAGAGGACACACCGGCAGGTATGGGGGATGTTGAAGGGAGACAAAGTTAAGTCCCTGGAGTGACAGGGCTATCGCAAGAAGAGACGATGCAGAGACGTGTGGTGGGGACAGGAAGCTTTAGGAAGATGTGCTACCCCAGAGACACCAAATGCTTGAGGTGAAAGGTAGGGACCCCCATAGAGGGAAGCAGGCAGAACCCACTCCTTTTTGAAGCTGCGGCCATGGAACTATAGTACTCACTGGTCCCTCAAACTCTGGCCTCTGGCCTCTCACTGACCTCTCCATGGGTCCCCCTCCCTCAGCGATGAGCTAAAGGGACTTTCCTCTGCTGGCGGGGTTCAGCTGGGCTCTCATTGCTCCTGGGTCTGTATAGGCCCTTCGCTGTGCCTTTTTTTGGGGTGGGGAGGTAGTGGGGGCTGCCAAGCTGGCCCCCACTCTGGAGATTCACATGCTGTCACAGCGTAAAAATAGTATCAAGTTGCACCATGTAGACATGGGCTGGGTGGGGAAGAGGAAGAGGCCTCCCCACCTCTGGTCAGAGGGCTGAGCCAAGAGAGACCTTTAATTCTCACCACAGAGATCCCCCTTCACTTCTTTATGGTTATGCACTCCTTACCTTCAATCTACCCCCCTCCCCAGGCCAGACGTCCCCTCCCCCGCCCCGCATCCTCGTCCACAGTGGCAGAAGCCCTGTCTCTCTTGCCCCAAGCTGGGCATCTCAGATCTCTCTGTGCACCCTCGGACAGGGAAGGCCTCCGAGAGGGAAAGTGCTGAGATCACCTGACATACACAGCTCTGAGCTTCTACAACCAGCTCCTAACGGCGGCGCGGTGCAGACCTGCTACAGCTCCGAACCCAGAAGGCCCTCGGCAATCCCATCAGAGGCTAAGCCTGTCCCGACTCCTTCCTTCTATCCTTACCTGTGCCCGCAGGGCCCGGCTCTGCCTCCTGGCCAGTTTTGCAATCATGTCCACCATCCCGGCCCCTCTGAGTTGCTGGGATACAGCCTGGGAAGTTTTTAGGGGGTGGAGCCCAGGATCACAACTCTGGGCTGGCACAGGGCAACTGGGAAACAAGAAGTTGCCTTGAGATGGCGCGAGGCTGAGTCTGCGACTGGTTTCCTGTCGGGGCTGCGGAAGTGCCTGCGACAAAGTTGCCTGGTGGGTGGGGGGTGGCGCATATTGGGGTGTTTTCATGTTTCCGGGCCTCCACTGGCTGTACCCCTGTGCTCAGTGCTCTGGTGACAGAGGACGTTTAAATCCCAGCTCCAGATGTAGCTCAGAGCAGCCTGTACCAAGATGCTCATACCTAAGTCACAGGTGGGATGGAAGATGGGCTCAGGCCTCATCTGGCACAGGTGAAGAAGGAAGGACTGAGGAGAGGGCTTCAGCCTGGGCTAGCCTAGGGTACGGCGTAGCTCCTGTGGCTGTGAGGATGTGAAGGGGAAGGTTGTGGAAAGACGTTCAGATGAGGAACGGGTTTGGACGCAAGTGGTTTGGGGAAGCTGGTGTCTAGACTCTGCCAGCCATGAGAACGGAAGGGGCAGTGACCATACCACTGTCTTCCCACTTGACTGCCTGGCTCTGTCTCCTCCAGACTTGGTCACCAAGCCGCACCTGCCCTCTTCCGCCCGGGTGGTCGCACGCACTGATCTTCAGAGGTGTCTCTGCATCTCTGTGTGAATCTGTCCACCCTCCACTGAGAACTAAGAGAATAAACACCAACCAGCTGCCCACCCCCCTTCTGATTTCTCCTCTGTCCACCGCCTTCTGCAGGTGACACTCCAACCCAACCACACACAGTGGACTCAGCACACTCCAGGTGAGCATCTGTGGCTGCTCCACCAAGCGCCTGGCGACCATCTTGTCTGTCCTGCCCTTCCCCAAGATGCTCTCCCTTAATGAGCCCTGTTTCCATGGGTCCCTGGCTTGTTTCCAGCTTAGACTCTGACCCCCTGCCTAGTCTCCCATTTCAGAAATTGCATGGAGACGCGACAGAATTGAAACACTTGCTGAGAACACAGGAGGCTGAGTCTGTGGTCCTCCGCCCTTCCGGCACCCCTGTCAGGGCTCCATCAGAAGCCCCCAGGACACACACACACACACACACACACACACACACACACACACACACACA